GAATTTTAACTCTGAAGTTACAGTTCTACAGAATCACATCCAAAAGCTCTAGAATCATGGCTCTTAAAGGAAAAAATTGCAATTAATGTTGGAAAAGTCAGTTGTTCTGTTTGCAAAAAAACATCAGTATGAAACTCCAAACCGTATTATATGTTAAAGTTTGTTTCGCGCTGAACTGTCGTATAGTTCAGCTCCAAATTAATAGATTCCGGCTTCATGGAGTTATGAATACAAGCCAGTTTCTAATGGATACTCACTCCTTCACAAAGATAGCCCTCAAGTAATTAAGACACAAGAACACGCCGAACAAATACTAATTCAGAAGTCAAACAACAAAAATCAGCGTTATATTTTCAAATTTTCACAGGAGTAGTTTCGATGGTTTTACCGAACCACCATCCTCAGCTGCAAAAGCGCAAATGAGCGAGATAGGATGTAATGATTAGATAAGATAAGAAAGCCTGGACAGAAAATAAGCTAGTGGCGCCATCTGTTGATAAAACCACCCTGTTGATTCTATCCAAAATTCACTGCCCTTAAACAAAATTCTTGGTTTAGAAAGGAGAATGCAGTTAACTGTCATAAAAACACCGTTGCAATTCGAAAAAACTTCTTTTACAGTCAATATAGGTAGTTCAAAAAATCTTCCCATTGTAAACATTAAGCCAATAGTTAATATTTCTAATGTTTATCAGAAGAAAAAGAGAGAATTCTAAAATATAATTTTAACTTCTCACAAACTTGTAAACCCTCGATTCCAAAGGCTCCTATCGAAAAAGCTTCCAAGTTCAGTAAAGTTTCAGATTCACAGAAAGAAATGATTAGGCATCTTATCGCTCATAATGTGAAATTCAATAATAAACCTTTGAAACCAAATCTAACTGCTCGAGAAAGCGCTACAATTCACGAAATTCATTCTAACCCGGATATTATCATTTCAAAGGTGGCCAGACAGTCATCATGGATAAGAACACTTACATCGATGGTGTCACTAAACTCTTAAACGAAGGACCATATAATCCGATCCCTAAAGATCCTTCACCTTCGGACCTGTCAAAAATAAAAACTGCGATCAAATCTTTACAGATCATTTCAAGCAACTTAAAACTTTCGCTTATCCTATCTGTTGCGAATTGTGCCAGATTGTATGCTCTTCCCAAAATTCATAAAAGTGGTATTCCTTTCCGCCCTATTGTATCAAATTTAGGTACTGCCTCTTATCCATTAGCTAAATATTTAGTTTCTAGATTTTCAACTCTATTAGACAATAACATTTATACCATAAAAAATTCAATAGAGTTTGTAAAAAATAGTTGAAAACATTTCTCCTAGAAATATACTCATGGTTTCTTTTGATGTAAAATCATTATTCACCAATGTTCCAGTGGAAGGTGCATTAATATGTTTAGAAATCAGACTTCGCGAATTTCATTTCTCTTGCATAGAAATTGATGAGCTAATTTCTCTCACTCAACTCTGTTTGAAACAAAGAATTTTTTTTTTTTTTTTTTTTTTTTTTCCCCAAAATAAATATTACAAGCAGATTGAGGGATTAGCCATGGGAAGCCCCCTTAGTCCCATCCTGGCTGATATCTACATGCATTATTATGAATCAAAATTGTTTGAAACTTTAAACTTCCCGGTATTGTTCCGCTACGTAGACCATACTTTTCCCCTGTTTGAAGGTAATAAAGATGATTTAAATAAAGTTCTTTCAATAATGAATTCTATTGATCCTGCTATTCAGTTCACTTTTGAACTTGAGACTTCCAATTCTCTTCCGTTTCTCGACATTCTGGTCACACGTAACACATCCAACTTCAGTACTACGGTTTACTGTAAACCTTCATCGGTTTGCCTTCCACCACACTTGAAATTATGTCATCCGACTAAACAAAAGTTAGCTTCATTTTATTCCTATGTTTTCCGTGCTCTTCAAGCTTGCTTCTCCAAACTATCCCTTGATGAAGAACTAAATTATTTAAAAGCAATACCTATTGACAGGGGCTTTTCACCCAACATTATTAATCAAGCAGATAAAAAATTCTCATCTCAACACACTCTTGTTTTTAGGAGATTATAAAAATTCTGTTGTCATTCCCTTCTTTCCATCAATTAGCTATAAAGTTGCAAATATTTTGCAGAAATTTAACTTTCGGGTTGTTTATTCTCCCATCAATAAAATTCCGAGTTCCATATTCAAGGACCCCATTGTGGATATGAATTCCTGTGGTATTTATAGGATTCCTTGCCAGTGTGGTTTAATTTACGTTGGTCAAACTAAGAGAGCCTTAAAATTTCGCGTCAAGGAACATGAGGCATATGTTAGAAAAAAGGAAACACAGAAGTCTTCTGTTCCCCAACATTGTTGGTCCGAAAATCACACTTTCAATTTTTCTGCTGGCAAAATTATTCAAGAAACATCTTCCATTGGAGAACTGGATTTTCTAGAGGCATTTCACATTCAAAATCTTTCTGTTCTAGTTAACGATCCTAATTCCAATCCATCTTTGCCTTCGGCCTTTAAAGAAATTATGTTTTAGTTCTGGTTTCATCAACAGATGGCGCCACTAGCTCATCTCCTGTCCAGGATTTCTTATCTTATCTAATCATTTTATCCTATCTCGTTCATTTGCGCTTTTGCACCTGAGAATGGTGGTTCGGTAAAACCATCGAAACTAGTCCTGTGAAAATTTGAAAACGCTGATGTTTGTTGTTTGATTTTTGAATCAGCATATTTTTTCTATTTTTCATACCGTTTCATTTCCAATGAAATTTGATTAATTGCCAATAGTGAAATGTTTGTTATTTTTCGCATCTGAATGTATTTCGTGTCTCTTATATGCTCATTACAATGACTTAACAAAATTACAAATAAGTTAGAAAGTAAGTGGATATTTCCTGATGTTCATTTTCATTTCGGAAAGTTTACCTTGAGTATTTTCATTTTTAATATTTAACGTTTCTTTTCCTGTATCCCAAGTATATTTTTGAGCTTAAAAGTTTCAGTTTTGATAGAAATTTGAGAATAACTGTGATGTTATCATGTTTTCATATACTTTTTCTGTTCTTTATCGATAACCTGAACACTTTGAATATGTTACCTCTTTTTACATTTATGCTAATGCAAATCATTGAATTTTCAAATATTTTCCTATTTGTCTTTTACAATGCCTCCTAAAGAAACCATCGAAACTAGTCCTGTGAAAATTTGAAAATATAACGCTGATTTTTGTTGTTTGATTTCTGAATTAGCCCTCATGTGTTTGCGTAATGAATTAACTAGTTGGGGAAATATCACTCCTTTACGTAAGGGAATTAAAATGCAATAGAAATTATTTCATTGCATTTTTAACTGAGAAACTTATTGGTAGAAACGCTGAATAAACTTGAGAAGAAAACAAACTTTCTATTATAAGTTGGATATAGGAGTTTTTAGGGTGAGACAGAAGGGCTTTTGAAGCTCTAGTCTCTCAGATTGAGAATACTCTTAGCATAACTTCACAATGTGTTACGGAAATACGAATCTTCTTTACAAAGAAAAATTTTGGGTAAGTATGATAGAGTTCTGAATTTATAATATTTTCGCTTGAGTATTTTAAAAGTCTTATTTACAGATGTTCCGTCATCACATCTTCATTTATGAGTTATTGTAAATGCATATTTCTACTCCTCTTCATTATAGTAATCATGAAAGAGTTTATAATTTTAGTTTTGGCAATTTTCTTAATTGGAAATTTTGACGTTTTCGTCGGTTGGAAATGAGAAGATGCCCCCTGGAATAGGTTTCTGTGTTCACGCGTAACGTTTCGTTACTCAATTTGGGAAACAGGTCTAAAATTATATGTGAGAACGTTTTTTGCTTCCTAAAGTATATTTAAATTATCAGATGAGCTGTTGTATATTTTTGATAGTTTGTTGCATGTTATTACTAGGAAGATCTTTGTCAGTAACTGCTAAGTGATAATCGATAAACATATTACAGGAAGGACATGTTTTGCATCCGTAAAGCGTCAAGTGCGAATTCTAAAATACGTGCTGAAATATAAAAATTTTTCGGAATTTTTTATCATAGCAATTAAATTTTTCGTTGTTGTTACAGCCAAGAGAAGAACGGATTTTTCTGAAGCTTGGTAACATAAATATAATATCAAGTCTTTAGATTTAAGATTTGGATTTCATCACAAATAATGAACTCGAGAATCTGCATAATCTTGTGTGAATTCAGGGAAGGAGAGGGATTGTGGAGTTGTTTTCGAGTTAACAATAAATATGTAGCCTGTAAAGTCTTTAACTCTGTTTTCAGATGATTTACGTAAAACAAGACATTCTGTGGGTTGCTGAAAATGTTACTAGTAATGTCTAAGTGTTGGAAAAATTAACATGTGTTGCTTCTGTTACCGTAGATGAACAATTTGAGACATGATAAAATATGTTAATACCATGTACAAAACCTTGATCTAATTTTTTGAGAGAAAATACTGTCGCTCTCTCAGATGGTTTCTTTTTCTCTTGTAAAAGATATAATTTTGTTTTCTTCCAAAACCAAACAGTTGATATATTAATCAAACTAAAATATTGATATAGTTGCTATATTTTTTGCAACTACCAGCGATTTAAATTTTATGAGTTATTCTTTTTTCTTGTCTTTCTTCCCCCCCCTTTTTTTGGCCTATATTGCATGTGTAGAATTTCCAGGATTCGGAAATAAGATTTAAATCTTTAAAATTTCATCAATGCCTTTCTTGTTCCCGTTATCGTGCTTTATTTATAAGTCTTTCTCAAATTGCTTAACTTACTCATACGTTTCCGTACTTGATATTAAAATTTTACATATTATGATTGTAAGAAGTTACTAATTCTTCATTTAAATATTACATGAAACTGGACTTCTTGGAAGTGATTTTATGAATGGTAAATTATGTAAGATTTAGGACGAATGGTAAATTATGTAAGATTTAGTACAAATGGTAGATTATGTAAGATAAATGTCACAAATCTTTCAAATAAACTGCCAAATTGATTTATTGAATTATATCATATATCAGAACATTTGCTTTAATCACAGCAGCAAATACCCGTAAACATTTTGAGATCTTAGGAATATTAATTTCAGCATTCAAGAAAAGTTTCGATAAATTTAAAAGTCGATGTTGAATTCTTAACCAAGGTATTTGACTTTAACATCACTGAAAGACATATTGTCAGTAAGAAGTTCGGCTGCTGTACGAGCTACGATCGGACGATCGAAGGGGAATCCCATAGGCTTCTTATCAGGATACTTTTGGTCTTTGGCACCACAATAACTTACAGCATCGCTGCAGATGGTCTTCACATTAGCCCCCTCAGGCTAAAAATAAATGAATATTCGTTTAGAAACACATCTTATAACCATATTCATGTTGAATTAATAATTATTATCTAATCTGAATATTAAGATTAATGGGATATTAATGATTAAGATAAATGGGGAATGAGACCATTACTCACTTAAGCAAATAAATGTTATTTAATAATAAATAAATATTGATTATTTTTAACGTAACAATGTCTTGGTTAAATGACATGCGTAAATTATTGCTGTTTATTTATTTGATAGAGAAATAAGTTTAAAATGTTTATTATTATTCTCGTCAGACCGTCTATATTACAGTAATGTACTTGGCGAAGTTTACCAAGTCATGCTTGCCTACCTTTGATCTAAGATATTTAAACATTACTGATATGTTTGAAAGAAACTAAACTAAAAAAAAGAGCAAAACATCTTGAAATGTGATATTGTACTTACATTATCAACGGTGTAGTCAGTAAGCATGACGAAAAGTTCAAATTCCATGCCCTTGGGTGTTCCTCTGGGAATAAGCATGTGTTCTGGCCATCCGCAACTGCAGTACTCGCTGGCATCTTCAGAACCACTCTGGCCAGCTCGCAATTCATCGAAAGTGTATGTATGAGACAATGTTACACTGGAATCAACAGCATTACGGTTGATGACGTTCTTTCCTGGAGCCACTGGAAAGGGGAGATTGGTATCAGAAAAGAGCAATATATTTATTATGGAAATAACTATCAAAATCTCTCACTAAAATAAGTGAGATTAATAAGTAATTGCTGACTTAATAATTTATATTTTACTTTTAGACGGTAGAAAGAATAAACCTAATCAAATGATAAATTAATGTTTTTTTTTTTTTTTTTTTTTTTTTTTTTTTTTTTTTTTTTTTGTAAACTAAGGGGGAGAATTATAGATAATTACTCAAATATAGATCCAATAGTTGTCTTCAAACTGAAACATCAACTTATAGCAAGCAAAATATGTTTTTTTTTTTTTTTTTTTTTTTTTTTTTTTTTTTTTTTTTAATATGAGCATTATAATTCTTAGAGGTTGCTTTGATTCAGAACATCTTGAAATATGAAATTTATTTCTTTAACATTTTACAGTAATTATTACTGCTAGTAACAATCAGATCTAGCTTTTTAAATTTGTTGGTATGCACTGAGGAAAATTAAACCATTACATTTGAAGCTATTTTGCATTTACATTGGTAGGATATACTGCTATATTGCATACATGTTAGATTCGTCAGCAATATGCATTTATTTTTACCTTTATTATATTCTTACTAGTATCAAAGTCTGAAATAAAAATTGTCACTTACATTGTTTGTGAAATTTGTCGAGTTCAATGAAAAGCCTGCGCTGCTCATCAGGTGCCAAGCGATTTCCAAGTTCATCATATTTGGGTCCCATGAAGACACGGACAGTGGCGTGTTTAGGACCACCGCTTGTGTTCTCAACGTTGATTGTGAGAGAGAATGGTTCGTGATCCAAATGTTGATACTTTACCTGTTACAAAGTAAGTTATTTTCATTAGCTTCCGTCATTATCAATTTGCGCATAAAATACTGACAAATGTTTGCTTTACTTTTAATGCTCACTTTTCAGTCTTTAATTTTAATGTCTGTAATAACTTAAAAAGCGTTTAAATATGTTAAAAGTATATAACTGCCCAAGATATTCATATGTTTTTTATTTTTGTATGTGTTTGTAGAACTGTGGTCAAAGCCGTACAAAGTTATTTCGCGACCTAGCCAGAAGGCGTCGTTGGCACTTTTGTATATACCATTAGCACCACAAAAAATAACTTATTATTATTGCACATTTGGCACCACATTAAGCGCAATAGCCTGGGGACGGCCAATATAGCCAATCTGTTAATCTGGTCCTAATTGTATTGACTTTTATTTCAATCTGGATTGGTACAAAATGATATAAAAGAGGAAAGCATTTATTTACATTTCCAAAATATTTCTCGTTGTTGCTATGAAAAACAACGGCAAAACAAAGTGTTATGGAAGGGAAGCTGCTGTGGAAGGGACTGGTCATATTAAAAATTTAATTGATTATCGATAGATATATATTTTCCTCTTTCTTAGCTTCAGATTTATTTAAATGTAAAAGATACATTTAGTGTTTCAAATCACTAGCCTGTTTTTTCTGAAAACAAGTTAAATAAGTAAGTGGAAGTAGAAGTAAAAAAAAAAATTAGGTAATTCATTTTTATTAAGAAATCAGATAATTAATTTCTTTATTTTTTATTTTTTTCACTCATTTACTTGAGATTTCTGGAATTTAGAAAGTGGAGAAATTAACAAGAGCTCTTTGAATGTATCGGTATTACGTATTTAATTTCTTCCGTTGTACATATAAATTAATGTTGCACGAAAAGAGATTACGAAAACTGTTTTTAACAAGCGGTTAACAGTTATTTAATTACCAGATATCACTTTACTTACCTTGACTTTGTGATCAGTGCCGAAATTGATACCGTGAGAAAGGTCAAGTTCGTCTTCTTTTAAGTATGTAGTCAAAACATTACTCTGCTTAGCATTGACCTGAACGCTGGCAACCTTCACTCCAGGGAAGCTCAGCTATGAAAAGGAAACAAAAGTCATTCATAGAATATATTTTAAGCGGAAGAGATAACATAACACGGAAATACTGTATTTAATAGGGCTAGATTAGCTAAAGGTCTGTTGTCTTAGTTTGGTTTTAGTTTCCTTATTTCCTTTCTTTCTGATTTGGAATAGGTGTGTGTTATTCTAATATATGTATTAGCTAGCAGTTATTAAAATAATTAACATTTCCATTCAGTATTCACTTATTTACTACCGATTTTTTTTAAAACTAAGTCTTAAACATAAAAATTGAAATGTTATCAGAAAGAATTGTATTTCTTAATTGAATTCTATCTTATCCATATAAGGAATTTTATATTACATATATCCTGATGCTATTACATTACGTCCACCTTGCTTTTGGCTTTGCAATATCTTCTCTTCTTTAATATGGTAAACACCTGAGCGTAATTCTTACAACAGCTAATATATTTAATTCTTATTTCTAAAATTCTCTAAAATGCTTTTAAAATGTGTATACCTGTTCTTTTGTGTATGGTTTCAGGGTTGCCTTGTACTGTTGGAAGATGTTATCAACAAATCTGTGCCACCTGTAGAAAATTGGATCACGTAAAGAAGTTGAAGTATCACTCATGACACCAGGATTTTCCTAAAAGATAAATAAATAACTATAGTAATACTGAAGAGGAGACATTCATTGCACATTCAGTGACATTCCATGCATTAATAGGTCAGTATGTTATAACAGTTTTCAACTTAACTGAAGTGCATTTAGACACAGAAATCTCACAATTAAAATAAGCAACTACTTATATCCTAAACTTCTTGTAAAATAACGTTAAAAGTGTAATCAGCAAAAGATGCATTACAAAATTCTGTGTAAGCAAATCCATTTCTTTAGCTCAGCGCGTAAATCTGTTCACTAGATATTTCATGACATAGATATTAATGATAACAATTTATTTAGTTAATTTTTCCTGGTCAGAAAATTTTACAATCTAAATTTGATATTTTATTCTCAAATTTATTAAAAGAATCGGTTTAAAAAATAATGTCTTCAAAACTGCATAAAAGCTGCTGAATTTTAGATTTATAAAATAGCCCTGAAATGACGTCATCTGGATATCATTGACAGTATCAAAATGATTTTTACGAGGCATTTAAAGGACATCCCCGTTGAGAATGAGGATTTCTAGGGGGCCATACAATATATGGAAATCTCGCTGGCAAAATTGTATTGATGCAGAAAGATTACTTTGAAGATTTTTTAGTGATTTTACCAATCTGATCAATAAACACTGAATAAAAAAGTTCTGACGCAGTACTTGAGACATAACTTGTAAATTAAGTTTTAACAAAATACATTTATCAACAAAGAGAAATTTTGTATTTATATTGCCTTTCTTAAAATACTGAATGATTTCGAGACAATATTCTTAAATGAATGCTTACTTGGAACCTGCCATCAGGGTCGTGCATTCTGGCCATCATGACATGTCCCCAGTTGTGGAGAGATCCATAGAAACCAATGTTCGGTGAGTTTGAGCTGGCTTCAATGATGCTTCCCAAGATGTTAGCACCATTTTCTTCGTCCAGTGGAATTTCCTCTCCATTAGCATTGTGAACATGTTGTAAGTCAATAGCTTCAAGAATTCTTTCTCTCCACCTCTCCATATCCTGGACATCTACATCAACTAGATCCCTCAGGCTAAAACCTTGCGGTCTAGAGGCATAATGTAATCCACTGACTAGAGATGTCAAGTGGGGAGCATAGCCTTCAAGCTTTTCCTCAAAGTTATGGAAAGGCACCATGCGGTTCAGTCCGTTAGATAATCTTTCACAATCGTACCTGTTGAAAAAGTTCCATTAAATTCAAATCTTGTTTATACGAAACAGAACTTTCCATATACATTTTGCTGAATTTAATGCTTTCTGATATCAGTATCCCTTATGGCATTAGAAAAATGGCTTGAAATTGAAACCTTTATAGGAATAAATCCGTTATATCATTACTTTAAAGAATTTTTTTAACGTTTTATTGCATTTAAGTAATGAATTTTTCATAAATATGTAAATTTTCGGTTGCTCCTATAAATATGAAAATTTAAAAGTCTTATTTCCTTAGTATAAATAATTTTTTTAATATCATTATAACTAATTCTCATTAATTATGGAAAAAGTAAATATTCTGAGAAAATTTGATGATAAAAGATGTAAATTTTACAATTGCGAAACACGAATTGCTTGCTCACATTCTATACTATTTATTTTGATATTAAAAAGTATACATTGTATGTAAAATCAAAAAATCATCACTACCTGGCACACATTTGCTGATGCATGTAGTAGAACAATTCTCCTTTCCTATCCTTCACTTTCTGAGTGAGTTCTACATTCCAGTTAGCGGGATAAACAACATGCCAATACCAGTGATGAGCATTGATACCAATATCTTCACGGAAGTATGCTAGCTTGTATTCTGGTTCCAAGATGTTACCAGTATCTTCAATTTGAACTACGATATCCTGAGGGGTTTAATAACAAAAGCTTCAGTACACTCTTGATTGAGGTATATTGTAAAATATGACAAGAATTTAGTGTCTTATAATTAAAATCTTAAAAAAAATGTCACAAAAATGAGTTTTCTTCTTCTTAGCAACATAATTCTTACAGCATTCTCAAAAGAAGTAACATTCATTCATTTTGTGTAAACTGAGAAAATATGAGTCCCATTAAAATTTTCAGAAATTTTGCTTACTAAATTAAGGTAAGTAATACTTTACAGGGACTTAAATTATAACATATCTTCTTTATTTTCAATGACTTGAAATGTATAATTTTTGACTTATTTGAATTCTGAAAATTTTAAATTCCACATATTTAATGAAAATTTTTAGAATTAAGCTCTAATGAATAACTGGATTTAATAATGGATAACTTTATTTTTGCAACTCACCAAAATATACAAAAAACAACGCGATGTCTTTATCAGTTTAGAATGTACAAATATGAATCTGGAAATATTTAATTGCGAAATATCGAAATTACTTATATGGAACAGATTCACGTATAAATTTGATTATTCAGAAGACTTAACTTACTTCAGTAGGCTTATTCTTTGCTTCCTTTGAGGCCAAGTTGATAGTTTCCGCTGGGATGAATCTGTCAGGGAAAACTTCCTGGATGGGAGGCAAAGTAACTCCTCGGCAGTCATCACGATGTACTACTGCCACGGACAGAGCGTAGACAAAAAGCCCTTCGTTTACAATTTCCCTGGCTTGCTGAGCAAGTCTTATGAACTCGGCAAAATCACCAGCAGCTGAAATAAATTTTCGATATTATTTTTACCGTTTTCTGATGTCGTAGCGAAGCGTGCTAAGTTAGTGTTCCTCCTAGTTTTCCTAGACCCCTCCCCCCCTTTTTTTTGTAATCCACAAGGCAGATAGTCCTTCAATTTTTGGTAATATCCTTTTGCAATAATAAGTCTTTCTATGTACTAGAAAATTATGAATTTTAAAAATACGTTCTCTTTAACATATCATATTCATATTATTGTTTCTAATGAAAGCAGTTCGCATGATTCTACAATACTGTTACTTATCCTTATAAAATGCTTATAAAGCGCTTAAAAAGTGATTTAATAATCTTTAAATTGACAGTTTTAAGATAAAATAGTTGAGATTTTATTCTACTTACTGAATATGAGTCTAGATACGATCTAATTAATTTTTGCTTATTTAGTTTTTAGGTAATTTATTTTTGCCTATTTAGTTCATCAAAGTCATGTATTTGCTCCCAAAATATTCTAAAGTTTCATCAACTGTTTTAGTGAAGTTAACAATTTTTTCTTAGCTTTTAGTGGAGTTAGCTTCTTCTTTATTTTTTTCTTAGATTTCTTTTTCCTTTCATTCTGTATATTTGAATTATTAAAAACCCGTAAAGGAACAAAAAACTGGTAAATGTATTGCTTCAAGTGGGATCGAATTAATCGCGCTTGAAGAAATGCTGTCAGTCAGCCTGAAAATATATTCTGTACAAATTAAGTTACACAAATGCAACCATACCTTTTCTCCTAATTCTATATTTATCTTGAAATGATTTCCATTATTCCGTATTCTCTTACTGGTAATGTGATCAGTAGCGGTGCTTATATAGAAATTAAGTTTATGTGAATTTGATTTTGTATGAACACGCTAATTTAGAAAATTTATGAAAAACAAAACGGTAGATTATCGAAACTCGAATTTTGGTCTCAATTATGATTTGTGGGAAATTCCGTCGTTGGAGTTTTTCGCTCGAATAATACTGTGGCACGAAAAACTTCGCCATTAAATCTTAAAGGACGAACTGATTTGATAGTTTCATATGTGAAACTATACTATTCGCATTGGAAGATAAGATTGCCTTTTTTCTTAAAAAAAAAAAAAAAAAAAAAAAAAAACATTCATTCCCGAAAAGAATTAATTCGTATTTTTTCTCAAAATCTGCGTTTCACATGAAAGGAAACTGTTTTCTCCAGCAAGTATGTAAAGCAAAGTTTGTATACTGAAGAACTTTCTATAGCATGCTAAGCTAAACTGTGAGTAAACATATAATTTAACAATAAAAAAAACACATTTTTGCATGAATATAACGTATATTACATAGAATATTTTTTTAATTCAAACTTTAATACATTCTAGTATCGTTATATACGTTGCACATTAAGTTAGACCTATAAAAATCAATTGGTCGTATCCAGACTATGCTAAATTAAGGTGCCTTCATGTAAAAACAAAAGTATTACACCAAAATTATCCGTCAATCAGAATTATATTTTATTAAACATTTTTAAAATTACTACTTTACAGGACAACATGAAATTAAATTAAAGAACACGCCATAGCAAAGCAGAAGATCAAAACGTTAACTAAAATTGTATATCTGAATCGTTTCAGTTATGCTCTGAATATTTCATTTAAATGTAACCAATTTTCAAACTAAATAATTTACCACTTTTTAAGTACTACATGATAAAAATAATAATTAATGAAAATTATTTTATAAATTTCGGTTTGTAGGAAGGACTAAATAATTTTTCACGTTATGATAGAATCTTAGGATACAGAAGTTCTAGTGAGCAATAAAATTTCATTAAAAGAAAAATAAATTCTAAGCAAATGACTTTTAAAATTTTCCAGCATTTTTCCAATCGAATACAAATGGCTTTTCATCAGATATCTCTTAACTTATGAGCGTTAAAAAAATCCATACTTATATTTCATAATAACTAAGTCTCCATGCAATGAAAATTTATTTTACTTTTAATGTAAAAATTAACAAAGTGAAAAGTTATTTATCTTCTTCAAAATTTCAAATAAATGCAAAGCAGTACTTTATCAGAACATATAATAATTCTATCAATTATCGTTTCACTTTATAAAAAAAAATTAAGAAAGACTAATGTTTGCGAATTGCCAAAAAGTATAAACTATTTTCATAATGTTGAGTTCTCTTACCGTATAAGATTTCGAAGAGCTTGGTGGCTTCCTTAAGGTGTTTCTCGTGGAAGCATGAGAAGAGAGTTCCTCTGGGCAAAACTCCAACTCCCAAAAGCTTTGGATCCCTTTGGTCTACAGGCAACTGTTGTCTGGTGAGAGTTGTGATCTTCTCAAACAAGGGCAACAGCTGATCAAGCTTCTCCTTAACTGACATTTTTAGAGCTGGTTTCTGCTAAAGCCCACAAGAATCTCTTCACAAGCTAGCCTGTGTCCGATGCTTCTACCTCTGCCATATACGCCATTTTATATACTCATATTTTTTTCTTTTGACCAGTTTCTGAGAAATATTTTCTCCCTTGTTTCTTCGTATCAAATAATACGATCAAAAATAGTCACTCGGAGGGAAACTAAAGCTAAGAATCTCCTCTATACATAGAGCATACAGGATGGGTGTAGCAGGAAACGAACTTTCTCTCGACATGTGAACCAAAAGTGTTAACTATAAACCAAGATTTCTATCATAATATGAAAAATTATTTAGTCCTTCCTTAAATTTGAACGATTAATGAAGCCGTGACGAAAATTTAAGAATAAGTTATACAAGGATATCTAAGCTTTAATTAACTAATTTTAATTTTTAGATCGCATAATAGTGAAGTTTAAGCTAAGTTGCTTCCTCATTAGCATCACACTTATCCAGACATTGGAATTTTCGGAGCAGAAAGTGTGAAAAGTCAACCTTGCCCTCTCTGGCATTCGAACCACGGATCTTCCAATATTAGCTGGAAATATTACTACATAGTGAGCATATACGGGACAGTGCGATAATTTCCTATAATTTGACGCTTGAATTACACGGATTTGCCTGGTTTTGTTTGTACGCCAAGTCTTTCCAGTAAATAAATAAGAAAAGTATTTTGGAGATTTAGTGCAATTATATGATATTTATAAAGTTATATATTTTTCACAGCTATCTACCAGTTTATTTAAAGATTTTATTTCTAAATTTAAGATCATTAATTAGTTAATCTCTTCCAGCTTCCAATAATAATATTTGCCAGTTTTCCGTGAGCTTAATACAGTTAATGTTTTTTGAAATTCTAAGCATTATATTTTTTCAGAGTTAAAATCTTCTTCATATCTAGTTCGCAGTGACTTGTTTAATTAAAATTCATATGGATATACTCATTTTAAATGCATAAGAATAGCAATTCTGTTTATATTATAATTTTTAGAAACTTTATATATTTCTGCTTTTAGTTTGTCTCTCATAGATCGTTTTTAAAATGTTACAGGTTTCAAACTGATATTTTTAATACGTTTTAACAAGCAATAAAACATTTAAGCAAACATGTAATGAAAGTATGCTCCATAAAAATCTTCATTTATTCAGATTTAGTATTAAGATTTCAATAAACTTTTTTTTTTTTTTTTTTTTTTTTTTTTTTTTTTTTGTCTTTTTGAGCATAAAACATCAAACATCTCTTTGAAGAATTTACGCTCTCGAATCTGTAGCTATCATAACACAAATCTCGAAAACAATATATAAAAATGTTTTTATTTGAAATAAAACTGCACCTGCAACACTCATGTGCATATTATATATTTTCTATCGGAATGCACTTGATTAGTAAACTTTCAGATTTAAAGAATAAAAGCATATCTGGTGGAATTTTATGATTTCCACTGTCATTCAAACTGCTTTCATTTTTAGCGAATAGCGGCAAATTAATAATTATTGTAAAATGATATGAAATTTGTTGTTTTTGCTAATGCTCACTTGTCTCCCACCCATCTTCCTCTACCATCAGCCTCTCGAGAGGACTTTCAGCTCGCCACATATTTAGAGTGCCCCAAAATCAAAATTTCTTCCCCTCCCCCCCCCGTTGCCTACAGGATTACAGTTTTACTTTTCAAAGCCAATTGTAGCCAACAGGAAAATAAAAATAAAAAAAATAAATAGAATTACATATCACAATCACAAGTAAAGAATATCTAACAAGCAGGCTAATTACTTGAGTAACAGTAATAAATGCGAGAGCTAATAAGGAAAATAAAAGGTATTAGTAAACCTACATATTAGCATTACAAATACCTTCATTAATTACAATATTAGAGCAAAGAGTATTATAATAATATCATAAATTAAATAATTATAAAACATACCAATTATATTTTTTATAAATTACATCAATAATAGTCATGATGTCTGAACTAGACTGGAAAATTTAATATAGTTCACTGGCGCGCAGAAGATTATTCCGTATTAAAGTGTGTTAAAGTGTGCTAGAAATATTTTTTGTTAATTAAAGTAGTCATGTAAATGTTTGCAGAAATTAATAGTTAAATTTTAAAAAAACTTAGCATGAAATCTATCATAACAACATTACTATGCGTTTGGAACACTGACGTATCAATTTTAAATAAATTTAAATTATTATGCTAAGAAGATTTTTCTAAAATTTGTCTAGAAGAAAAGAATTCGATAAACAGTACTGCAAATTAATATAATCAATCTGGCCTCTTAGTTTTTTAAACAAAAATTAAAAATTTGGATGCAAAAGTTTGTGTAATATACTTGGAAATATCTGAACACATAATTAACTAGAAACGTATAATTAAATTAATAACAAGCTAATTAACAGCAACATTAAGCTTAATTTCATTTAATCTAAAGCAAACAATCGATCAGGAAGCTCCACATAACTGAAGTTTTATTGCTATTTTACGTAGATTTGGGTATAAAATAAAAGTTGCACTTGTGAAACAAGTGAATAATGTACTGATAGTCAACAGGAATCAAAATACAGTGATAAAAATAAGTGGTTAAAAATATGACTACTTGTCAGAAGGTATGCATAGTTGCTATAGCTAGAGAAATTAAATTATTATAGAAAACTCATAAAGTGCTACAATGTAAAAATAAAATTCTGGAATAAACATGTTAAGAATATTAGATGGAGAAATAATCCTTAATTTATTGATATCCATATAAACTCTACGCTTTTGGAAAAAGTTACATATAATTTGCACCGAGGTACCAATCACAGAAACCGAGTTAATTTCTTTCCTTATTAAAGGGGTTTGTAAAGAGATATGTAAGGTAAAGGTGAAAATTTTTGCAGTAATATTAAAGAATAAATTAAAAAAGTATTTTTACTTTATGATCTGAAATTTTACAACACAGTTTTACACAGTAAGTGAAAAAAAAAAAAAAAAAAAAAAAAAAAAAAAAAAAAAAAAAAAAAAAAAAAAAAAAAAAAAAAAAAAAAAAAAAAAAAAAAAAAAAAAAAAAAAAAAAAAAAAAAAAAAAAAAAAAAAAAAAAAAAAAAAAAGAAAAAAAATAAAAAAAAAAAAAAAAAAAAAAAAAAACAAAAAAAAACAAAAAAAAAAAAAAAAAAAAAAAAAAAAAAAAAAAAAAAAAAAAAAAAAAAAAAAAAAAAAAAACAAAAAAAAAAAAAAAAAAAAAAAAAAAAAAAAAAAAAAAAAAAAAAAAAAAAAAAAAAAAAAAAAAAAAAAAAAAAAAAAAAAAAAAACAAAAAAAAAAAAAAAAAAAAAAAAAAAAAAAAAAAAAAAAAAAAAAAAAAAAAAAAAAGAAAGAAAGAAAGAAAGAGCTGGGGATCTCTGGGATTAGAAACTCGGGTCGAACTACCAATATTTAGTGACTTTCCGCTTCATCGTAAGACCTTTTGAAATTAGGCTGAACAGTATATTAAAGAAAACAGAAAATACAGCACATGTAAGAACGAATGTGTGCTGAATTATAGATTTACATGTTTGGTGAATGAGTTAAACTTATCTGTATGTCATTATGAAATATTGGGAATGTAGCATAAAAGCATCAATGAAGAAAGGCAATGGCAATCTAAATCGTTGTAATCTAAATGTATAATATTATCAATAACTGCTATTAATTTCAATACTGCTGAAAAAGTTATAAATGAATCATATTATAAATCACGTGAACTCGTTGCATTGTAAATTACAACAGTTAAAAATATTTTTAGCGTGATTTAGCGAGCATCTTTGTTTGCAAATAATTTCAAGTAATTAATTTTACAAATAATTCAGCTTGAAGCTAGATTGAAAAATAAGCTGAATGCTGAAGATTAATCTTTACCAAGGTGTTAGAAACATCTTCTGTTAACTGCACTTATGATGCAATAATTTATAAAAAATATCATTTAAATATAAATTGGCATAAATACGACACAAAATATACAAATTCTACATACAATGAAAACTTGAATACAATGCAACAATATCTGAAAAAGGAACTGAAAATCCTAAGATATGAATATAAGGGAATTCGAATATTTTCTATTAATTATGAAAATTCTGCAGATGCTCATAATTATCAATTTATTAATTAAATGTGTATTATAAATTCAATGTATGCCAAAGTACATTAGGTAGAGTAACTGGAAAACAGAATAAATATTTAAACATTTCTAATATTAAAATATGGAGTTTATAAGAAAGTTAAATAACTTTAAAATAACTTCAATGATTAGAAATGGAAAGTTTAATAAGGCATGTATTGCATTAATATTAGTGGGAATTTAGAACCACTTAGGAAAATTCAATTTTCAGATTTAATAAAGAGAAATTTTTAAATTAAATTAGAACTGTTTGCCTAAAATGGTAAATTTGAAAGGTAAACCATTCTGCTATCTAAGAAGATTTGTTAATATTTATCTAGACAAGAAACCTTATTTAAGGTGCGCTACAAATCCGATATTTGATAGGTAATTATGTATCAGTTTTACGTATGTCATTAATCTATCAATTTTATTATTCAAAACTGATAGGTATATATCAGCAGCTAAAATCTACAACTTGGAAAGTTTTTAATTCTTATAGAGAGTAAAAAAGATCTGGCTCATTATTCTTTTAAACATCATAAAACATTAAAATGAGTGTAAACACACGCCAGATTTTAAATTAATATTTGTTTTGTATGCGCAATTTTTACAATATCTGATAAACGAAAATAGAGGCTTGTAGTCTCAATAAAATACTCCATTAATGGCGAGAAATGACTTTTTGTAGCACCCATCTTCTTGGGAGTTCAAGTTCTTAGAAAAAGGGGACTGGAAAACGTCGCGCAGTTCGGGATTAGCACTGCGTGATGTGTAAATAAAAAAAACTGAGAGTAGTATATAGCATTATGTTAATGAAATAATTCCGCAGCTTATTTGTGATACTGCTTGATTTGGGATGAACACAGACATTGCCAGATCTACGCTGCATGATGTTTGCGATATCT